AGGTGGTATTGACAAAATCCGCAATCACTTAGTTGCCAACTCAATAAATATGTACGCGTATGTAGAAAGACAACGAAATAGCAAAAAAAAAGCATCGATTTTACAATTTCTCGATGTAAAAAAGTAAATGATCCGCTACTAAAGAATTTTCAAAGGGATCGTTTCTTTCTTTTTTTCTATGTTTAAATGCAGATTTCTCGTAAATGAACAAAAGCTCGAAAGCTATTTCGAAATCTTTTACGAATTTGTATACCTTTGGCTGTGTGAATCGAATCAGTGCGCAGTTTGTTCAGCCAGCAAATTAACAAACAGCGGAAAGAAGCTAGTACAGTGGAAAGGAAGCGAATGGGGCGGGCGGTGAATAGTGACTTCAATTAAATCCTCGCGGAATGTTTCATTCTGGCCGAAGCGGCTATTCAAAGTAAATCCAGTTCGAACGGTCGATGTTTCGTCAGGGTGATCGAAGGATGCTATTGATTCGGAAGTAAAAACGTTTACAGGCGTAGTAAAAGTGTAAGGAAACAGCATCTCTGTAAACGATTTGGCGTATCGACGCACGACTTTCGAACGTGTTTTCTTGTTACGATACAAGGCAAAAGACGAGGTTTTCTTTATTCAATTGGAAACTTACGAGATCTATTATTCACGTATTTCAATCTCGAATTCGTAGGGTAATGGATATTCCGCTGGGAATCATTTAAATTTGATTTAAAAACGAAAGAAAAACAGGATTTGATGTATGCAATGGAAACTCGGAATTTGTTATTCGCGAATTTTAATTTAGAACTCGAGCAATGGTGAAAATTATCATTTAAATATGATTTGAAAATGAAAAGGAAAACAAGATTTCTTTTATACAGTGGAGTCTTGAAATTCATTATTCATATATCTTAATGTGGAATTCTAGGTGTTGTGAAAATTATCTTTTAAATCGTTGAAAAATAACAGGTTGTCGGATATACTTATCGCTAGGAACAGTTGACAACTGAAACACGATTAAATAAAATGGAAGCTACGTATATGGAAAACTACGTAAGCTTGTAAAATGTAAAATGAGAATGAAGCTTTCACTTGTTCCTTTCATAGGAATCATTTATAGAAAATTATTCAGATTTCAAAAATATACGCGTAATATATAAACACTATCGGTCTCGATAACAGGAACCCTTACAAAACTTCTGACAAACCGCAATTAATTCGACATGCTCCAAGTACAAAACAATCGTCACCTCCACCAAACTGATTTGCAAAAAGACCGGTCTAACCGACAGAAATTCGTGAAAGGGGGCGTGCAAGTAATCGCGCTGTATTCTCGATTAAATGGTCGTTCCCCTTGGCGAGGCTTGGTCCAAGCTTTCGCGCTTACACGCGGCTGCTGAATAATGCAGCTAGACGCCGGTATCCGGGAACAACCGGCGCGGTAATTACGTCGTCCCATTGAAAAGAACTTGGCTTGATCATAATTTCGCCATTAGCTTGGCGCAGAGCAAGCACAGTGGTGGGGATGACGAGTGGAAATCGGATTTCAGAGGGAAGAAAAAAGGTCACGGACACCGTGGGTGGACGTTAGGATAAAGCTACGGCAACGAAAAAGAAAAGAAAGAGGAGAAGGACGGGGGAAAAAGGAACAGGATTGCTTTGAGGAACAAAGAAGGCGGTATATGGTAGAAGAATAAATGGCATGTGATGGTAGCAGGGATAGTTTTAAGCAGAAGGAGAGAACACAAAGGGGAAGAGATAGAATTAAGAAGAGACAAAAAGATGAAGCTTCGCGGCGTGGATGTTTGAAAAGAGGGGTTGAAGCATTTCGCGCGGTCACCGCCCGTAGATATTGCATTTTTATAAGGCGCAGCATGGTATCTAGCCACCTCCTTTATTTCTTTCCGCTGATCTTTTACCCCTCTTTCTCGTCCCCTGATCTACCTTTCTTTTGTTGCCGCGAAAGACGCCTCGGTTAAAGTTGCCCGGGGACGAGTTAACGACGATGCGATTACCGAGCGATTCCGCTCGCTGTTTCGAGATAATTCGATTTTTCAATTTGCAAATCGGTTCAACCGTCGAAACGTAGATTCAGAGCAATTCGCGCAGATGCGTTGTGTACGTGTTCCTTGAAGAAATATCAGTTGAGCTGAGTATTGAATTCGTAGATACGAAATTCTGTAGCGGAGGTCCGATCATAGACGGACTGTTCTGCTTATTATCTGTTATATGTTGATTTCTCAATAATCGTTTCTTTGTTCTTTTATTCGAAGAAAGAGATTCTGAGAAATATTTGACGAGATTGCGCGTGTTCTAGAGTTCATAGATACGAGATTCTTTGGCGTTAGACTGATCACAGACCGACATATCTACGTACGACCCACTTTGTAGATTGCTCGACGTTCTTTCTCTTACGTTACTTGCTCACGAAACTTTTCACTGACTATGCAGTTATAGTCACTATGTCTTTAACTCTATATGCTTAGAAGAAAATCATTCAAATCCAAAAATGCACCTGCAAAATATCCATGAATCTATCAGTTAACAGTAGCTACAAACCCATATAAACTTCCATATAAACCTACGAATAGATCAGTTTCATCACGCCACTGCTTCTCGCATTACAATTTAATTTACGGTTTGCGATTATTTCTCCACCGACAAACACAAGCTACCCTCTTAGAGCTTGCGATACATTAAATCTGCTTCGCTCGACGTTGGGCTCGAAAAATCCGATTAGTCTCTTCGACAATCTCCTTAAGAACTTTGGAAGATCTCGACGACCGATTTCTTCCTTTCGGTACCTACGGGGTGTACGAGCTATTGATTCCACGAGTACAAGCTAATCAATCGCCACCAACATCGATCCCCTTCATCTCGCAATTTGTTTCGCGACTCGCTTCCGCGATCGTTCCAGAGCCTCTCATCTCGCGTGCATTTGGATGTCCTGTTCGCTTCGAGGAACGAAACTCTCAGTCTGGCATTGTTCCCGTCACTTGGAAGTTCGACTAAGTCGGAAGTTCGTCGAAAGATGGCCAACTCGAACGATTGTTTGCGTACGTATTGGCTGGTCTGGCTGGCTAATAGAGCGTGCTTTGGTGGAAGAAACGAGGAGATTTAATTTCGGGGGTTTCTACTAGCTGGGGAATGGGAATTAGGGTTGTGTATATATACCTCTGTGGGGAAGGGGTTTTAGGGCTCGGATACTGTAATTGGTTTTGATAAGATCGCGTGAAACGGAGATTTTATTTTAGGAATTAGATTAGGAAATTGTAAAATCGCTGGCAACTCAGACTTTTTAAACAGTATAACGTAAGGTTGGAAATTTAATTTCTTTTAGGGGCGAAAATTCCATGCAAAGAGAAAGGATGCTGGATAATGTGGTATCATGGACGAAAGGCCTAAGAGATATCGAGCGAATTATAAACAAGCGGTTGCGGAACATGTACGTGGTGGGGCTAAGACAATAGACGTGGGGCTAAGACAAAAGACAAGGGGTTGTTAAGGGACAAAAACGAATTAACAGTCAGTGTGAGTTGAGAAACCAGAGACTGTGAATCGAGAAGTCAGGGAGATAGTGTTGTTAGCGTTGTTGAGAGAGTGTGGTCCGCGTGAGAGAGAGCGTTGGATCCGTGGTGACAAGAGTTGCAAATTAACTACCTAGTTGTCTTAATTATAATACGTTATTGTGATTAGTTCATGTTGAATAACCATCGTTTTCTGTTTAACTAACATGCGTTTAATCCATTGTAAATAAACTAATTGTAGTAAAGGTCCTACACTAATTTATACCTCTGTTCATTGAAATTGTTAGGACGGTTTCTATACTTGTATCGAAGATAGAAACAGATTTTTTTAATTCTACCTAATTGATATGCGAATGAACATAATCTTTCTTCTTGTACGACTTAGTCGTTGGTTATGAGCGATAATATTTTCATCCAGCAACAGGTTCGTATCAAGTTTAATTATTTCCGAGGCCTGTGGCAGGTTTCCACTTGCAATCGATCAGAGCACAGTTCCCAAAATCCATTGACATCGAAGCGGATTCGATGCAACGTGTGCATCAGGAAAACAGGTCACTCGAGGGATCTCGAGACACGGCTATAATTGCCGACCAGAGTTTCTCGTACGCTGATAGCGAGGCATCGCTGGCTAATTAACCAGGGCAACTACGGCGCTCGTGCTACTGAAACGTGGATCTCGATAATTGTTGATTAATTTAGCCTTGAATTCGAGCGGCAATTTCATTGGACCCACGTCGTTTGTCGTTCTGTCTACCATAGCCACCGAAAACACACCGTTAATCGTTAATCGAGTTTCTTTCGTGTTGATTAACTACGTGTAGATCGAACGTTCCTCGACGTTGTTCCGTGATATTAGGAGAAGTATAATTGCAAAGTTAAAATGACCAGAAATTGAGCGAGTGTTCTAGTACTCGCGGATGTGTAAACACACGCTTCTGAAAATACACCTGCTGAAGATACACCTAATATTTATGAACATAAATTTACATTTAATCTACCCAATTATTACACAATGAAAAATTCAAAAATAAAAACTAAGGGAAATAAAATTAGCGATACATTAACTGGCAAAATCCGTATCGCTGCAACCATAATAGCTCGTGGACGAAATACAAGTGGAACCATTACCTTTGATGCCTTCGTTCCGTCACTTTGATTCACATTCCAACGACCATTACACCTCTACCGTTGTACAAGTTTTTCCATGCTTCGCGTACCGAGAGCAAACCAAGCCACAGCTCCTGACCCGTTTACGTTTCATCGACGAGACTTTGAGCAACGAACCATGCCACTCGAGGCACACGTCGAGATTGGTGCATTAAAAATCACCGGTTTGACCAAAATCCAGTTCAAAAAGATCCTGCCTAATCGTGCACGTACCGCAAAAGTCAACCACTCCGACAGAAATCGAGTTTCTCTCTGATACGATTAATTTGTTTCGATAGCTCGTTCCAGTTCTCTGTTTCAGTCAGCCTCCAGTTTCACGTGTTTGCACGTAGTTAAAACGTTCGACACGGTTGTTGCTTGGGTCGAGCATTAAGGTGAGTTCTCTTAATTTCGAGGCCCAGAACCCGTCGAAACCCTGTGCCGGGAGGAACGAAGCGAAAACGAAGCTTCTTCCGCGTCCGCGGTTCCAATTACACCTTCTCCTTCTCCTCCATCCTTGCAACGTCTTTCTCCGTTCCACACCCCTAATTTGCTTCCCATCTCCGTCCCTCTTTGCCCTTATCTCTCCCCTTACGTTTCTCTATGTTCGTTCAATCCACGCTTTCAGCCTGTTCTCAAGCTCCTCGTCGATGTTTCCACGTCTCACTCGAGTTTGCAGTCTCTCGTAAGGAGAGCAGACATAATTAGCCGCTCGTATTTTGATTAAGTTCTCCATCGAGAAACGAGACTCGGAAACCGAGCAACGTTCTCGGTGTCCTTACCTCCCCTTCTCTCCTCACCCCGCCGGAACTCTGCGCTTCATTAGCGGACAACGCGGTAACTGGCCGAGTTACTGAAAGGAAAACGCACAGGATTTTCGAACGCAATTAATTGTTCGACCAAGGAATCAGAGTGGCGGTTTCGAGGTTTTAATTATTGCGGAGGCGAGTGGTGGTGACCTTTGGCATACGACGATCGTAGGTTAACTCGAGTTCGTACGAATAAATCCGAATTAGCGTTACGCTAGCTTTGAGTTAATTTATAATTTAAAATAAATAATTGCGAATATGAGTGGTAGCTTCGAGGTACGACAATAGTAAATTATACAAGATTCGAGAATTCGAATTAGCGTTTGAAGGGTCTCTTGTCATAATCTAAATTGAATCGAACGCGTGAGGGATTGGAACATCGATTTGTTCCTTTGGGACGCGACCCGGTGAGGATGACATAAATTAGGTTTGCTTCTTGATTAGGTACTCTGGGAGACGACGTACCTTTGAAGTTCTTAGACTGCAGATTTGAATAAATACTGTGCTGGAATCTTGGTCTTTGTATTGAGTATCCTAGAATATATTCTCCTTAATGAAGCGCATATATAATGTTATATAACATTCAAATCTAGCGAATATAATATGGGGAAATTTTTCTATAATATAGCAACGATTTAATGTAATCGATCAGATGCAAACATTTCAGTTTTCTTTTGTGTAGAAGCACTTCGGTCTAATTATTAATAAATTGGCATCTTGTAAGTATAAGATGCACAATGGCATAGAATGTAAAAATCGGAGAAAGAGGAAATCGAGGTAATGCTAATTGAAGAAATATCTCATTCAAGAACATGGATTTATAGTACAACCATTTTATGAATTTCCTGCTTAATTTAATTAAATTTGTTCCTTTTTAGTCAAGTTACGTTCTAAAGAAACACACTACGTTCAACGTTCGCTGACAGGCACCAAACACAATCTCGAACAGAAAAAGCACAGAAAAATGCGAAGAAGAGTTCTGGAAAAATAATTATATAATTGCAAAAACATTCACCAAAGACCGTGCTGTCTTGTTTTTTACAAAACTCGAAGAAAATGCGGGCAGAAATGCAGAGAAACGTCCTAGTAAAGTGTCTTTATTTATTTTCCATCTGTCGACTCAATTATCTCGAATTTCCCAAGGCGGACGAGCAACCTAACCCGCTGATTGGACGTCGCGTCGCATGTTTAATTAAGCCTGTGTCACGAAGACACGTCGTCACGAGTACGTGCGAACGAAACAAACAGCCTAACGACGTTCCCGCGATTCCGTGTACTCGTCGCCGCTACGACAAGTCTGCCACGTTGCAAGCAGACCCTCGTCGAAGACAAGACGTCGATTCCACGTTGAAAAACACAACGACGTTCGCTCCGCGGCAAAGAGAACCAACCAGAGTACCCGTTGCAAAGTTTTAATTAACGTCGCTACTTTTACAGGCGTTGTATCGGACGGTTCAGTGAATCCGATCTTGCAATCTCTCGCGAGATTTCATTCTTTATATCAGTGGAAAATTTTTCATTCGATGGTTTTTACATGTAGAAACTGGGAAGATTTTTTTTTATTTTTTAGCATAATATTTTTAGTGCTTTTATAAAGTGCGTAAACTATCGAACGTTGTCGTGGACACGGTATTTTTATTTATTTTTCTGCGAGGTGTTGCTTTTTTGGAAAATGTAAAGATTCTCTTATATTAAAATTGCGAATTAATTTTCAGAGATATTTTTGACTAAAAGTACATTTATTCCAAGAGAATCAAAGGAGTTACATTAATCAAAATATCTTCCTTCGTCTTCTACAACTTTTTCCTATTTTTCTGGCAAGAGATGGATGTCGCGACGATAGAACGATTTATTTTTCGAATTGATCCATTCATCGGTGAATTTTTGCACTTCTCCGATATTTGAGAAGTGTGTGCCTTCCAGTACGTGCTGCATTGACCGGCGAAGGTGGTAGTCCAATGGAACCGGAGTCTGGAGAATACGCAGAGTGGGAAAGGACTTCCCATTCGAGCTCCAACAACGTTTGCTTCACGGTTATTGCAACGTCGTGCATTGTCATGCAAGAGAATGACTTTGTGTCGTTTATTTGATATTTGTGGACGTTCCTGGTCTAGAGTACGTTTCAAGCTGTACGTAGTTGACGTCGATAACGATTCCCCGTAACACCTTCGTGCAGTTACAATGGTTCATAGAATCCATCTTCTTGATCCCACCAAACAGTGTGCATTACCTATCGACTGTGAATTCTACGGGTTTCATTTCGCTGCTTTTAAAATTCAATCGTTTATGTAACATATTAAACGTCAAACATAAATATCGAGACATGGTCACATTGTAATTTGATATAACCGCGAAATTCTACAACTTACAACTGGAGCACTCTATTGAAAGCCCTGAAACTAATTCACGCCTCTGATATTTCATTTTCTGGCCAGCTAGTTCACCATAAATTCCTCTAAATTGTGGAGCTTCGGGAACTAAAAAAATTTTATCAATTTTTCCATGAATCGTAATATCGTTCTTAATCTTCCTCACGCTCGTTTCCCATAATTCTGTTAGCAGGAAAGGCAGCGAAACGTAGTTAGCTGGCCATAAATTCCTTCGGACACTTCGACGAAGGTCACGCGCTCGCGAATAAATCGAATATCGATCGGATGAGAGGTAGTAACCTGGCTATCTCGGGATCCCAGACCGCTGTTCCTTAATTGATCGAACAGGAAGATCGGTGTCCGGAACGCGCGTTTCCTCTTTCTTCGTCTGCGAACCGAATTAAAGTAACGAGATCGAAGGAGAATTGGAATCCTACGGTGAAACAAAAAGCGCGAATTAAAATAGCCGGGGATAACGAAGCGAAGCGAGAAGATTTGCCACGTCGGTTCACTGGCCCCTTTACCTCGTTATCCTATCCGTGAATCGATTCCAAAGAACGTTTCGCGCTATTTCTTCTTTATCTCCGATTCTACAAAGGGTTAATTTTTCAAATTTAAAGCGAATCTATTCGAATCTACGAGGCTGGTCGTGTCCTCTTAGAAATCGAAACAAATTTAAATGCGTAAATAAATGCGTATATCCAGAGAGATACGCGTGGATGATTCCAGTTTAAAAATGAAGCGAAGAACACAGTACCTAAATAAAATCATTGACGCTTTGCATAATTGTAAAATTTTATCACTTACATTTACATTATCAATATATTTATATGCAACTGCTATTATTTCACTCAATATTTCACCCCTTAAACGAACAACGAATAAAGCGAAATTCCTCTTTCCTACTAATATTCTAAAATCCACTTGTCGTCGAAAGAAAGAGAAGAATCTCTTTTGTTGAAAGAAAATAGAACAAGAAAGGATAAAGTCTAAAATAATCACGACACAACGTTCCCTAATAAAGAATAACAAAGAAAACATAGTAAAGCCACGAATTCGAGAAGAATTTCAATTCTGTCGCCTATAGCACACGAAGCAAAGCCCTGGATCGATCGGTTTGAAAATGAAGCCAATCCAGAACGGGGACAAGGAACAAATTCGATCGCGAGCTTTCAGCCTGTATCGGCGAAAGGTGGTGATTTTCCTGCGTCACCACCGGAGAAAAATCGACGACGTGGATAGAGGTGAATTTGTTTCGTTGAAATATCCGCGATCGGTCTGACAGAAATGGCTGGCAGGCGCTTGGCCAGCATATCGCGTGGGAGTTGCTCGAAGGCTGTGAGCTCGTCGCGATCGCCATCGCCATTTCGATGCTATGCCATTCGGGTTCCCGTAGCCGTTTCCGTTGGGAAATGTCCGCAAAGTCGCCGTCCTATCTTCGCATCCAACGCGAAACAAACTGGCGACGATAAGACTACGACTTCCGCACCGAAATCCTCCGGAACGGACTTACTCAATGATATCTTCATTGCAGTTGGAGATGATACTTCGAAACTTGATGATAGACGGAAATAATTGTGCAACTTGGTGCTCGTTCTCTTCGATCTTGAGATCGTAGTTCGATAATTACAGTCAAGGTTATAGTTTAGTCGAGGATTATGGTTTTGGAGTTGCGATTGAAATTTGTTTAAGAAATTTGATACTTGGCGAGAGATTTAGGGTAATGTTTCAAATGTATCAACATTGAAGCTAGATAAAATACACGTTAAATTAATAAATTTTTAGATATGGCGTGTTCAACGACAATTTCTTAAGCTTAAATATACATGCGATAGTTATACGTGTAATCAGAAATTAGATACATAATCACGAAATTTACATAATCCATTTATAGTAGTGCGTGAACTATGAAACTCATAGGATGAATAATAGACGAGAAATCTGTCAAAATGTTTAATAATAGATTCTAAATAAAATTATTAATATTTATAATAATATATTACCGTAATATAAAAATAAGAATAATGGAATAATAAATCAACACGAATAAATTATTCACCTCATAAAACCTCATAAAACACAATTCATCCCAATTAACTCTACAAAAACTACCATTCGCCCTCGAATCACTCCCCAATCTAAACCATTTTCGACAATCAGTCGCAAATAGAATCTGCCAATCGGCAAAAGAAAGGTCTGGTCCTCGATTCTCCGTTCCAAATATTTACAGGCAAGTTTGGAGACGGGCAGAGGGGTGCGGATTTGTGCGTGGAACGAGAGCAAGCTGCCTTATCAGACCGTTCATCCTCCATATGGGGATTGGTCGTCGCTTTTATGCGACGTTTTCCACGTCTACCAGCCGGCACACGTACGTGTTTCCACGGGAACGACAGTTTCGTCGAAGTTTTGCCTCTGCTGGCCCGGAGATTTTTCGTCGGGATAAGTGAAGGGTCTTATCGAGAAAGGCGAGAGTTGGTAACAACTTGGACGATATTATCGCCGATCTGACGGGATGCGAACGATTCCATTGGTCGACGATACGGCTTGTTTTTTTTCGTCACGCTGAACGATGGTCAGTATTCTTATCAAAGATTTCGTCTCTATCGTGTTTAATAGATCTTCGTCGCGAATATATCGCTGTATTAAATATAAAATATTCTTTGATGTACGTTCAAACGAAGTTACGATAAAGTCTCAAGAAAAAAGCTTTGTCAAAGAATAATTCGAACAATACTTTGTCAAATAATTCGTCAATACGTAACATTTACTACCGTAATAACATCAAAGAACGAAGGAAACATACCGATAACCTCGATTCCTTTGATCCGCGCCCAGACACAAAGCACACATTCGCTTCACTCGTCGCGAGAACGTCCCTCAGGCTGTTGAAGACAGTCAACAAGGGCTTAGACATTTTCCAAGAGTCGTCCCCGCTCGTTTATCACGACCAAACTGAGCGTAACACTCTCGAGTCGTTGAGAAGTTTCTCTCTGCGTGCAATTTTTCGCGAGAACGGATCCGAGACGTCGACGCACGCACGTAAAAATACGAAGAATCGAAGGCAATCGTATGCTCGCGCTCACCCCTCGGGGGATTTCCGTCCTAGTGGCGTCGATAGATCGCACTCCGATACTCTCGAGACCGTCTCACGCGATATTTTCCTCGAAGATAAACCGTACCAGACGCAGAATTTTTTTATGCAAATTTTTACATATCTTTTAAATCTTTTCAAACGAATATTTTCCATTTTTCTATTTTCCGTTTGTCCGAGTTGTTTACTTTACAATACTCAGCAAAGCTTTTAGAAGTTAACCGATGAAATTTCTTTGACTATTGGCCTTAACTGTCAGCAATGAAATGGAAACCTTGCAATAAAAACGTTTTCCCTCCAAAATGGGCCGTGGCTCGGAGATATGAAAAGGCACAAAGCGTTGGTATCGGTTCAATCGAGTTTGATTTTTTTCGAGGGCGTGCTCAGGGCTAAATTTCCATGCCGGTATCCTCACAGGATTTTGTTTCCGCGAATTCTTTCGTACCGGCTTTTCTCCCGCGGGAAATCGTGCAGAAAAATCAGCGAGTGGCCGCGATTTCAAGAACGTCACCAAGGGAGACTGAAATTGCCGGACAGGGGTGGTTTGTCGTCACTGAGAATAATTACTCGTCGAACAGGAGAAGCGGAATAAAAAGTACAAAGAGGAAAAAGCGGAGGAATATCGATAAAGAAAGAAAAGGAGAAAAAAAAGGAAACGGGAAAGGGCAATGTTTGTTGCGAGTATTTTTATCGAGCGGAATTTTTCTCGATCGACACGCTCGTTTATTAAAAACGCCGACGTTAATAGACGAACCAATTTCAACGAACTGAAGACTAAGTTAATTAATGAAGCTCCGCTTTCGTGTTCATTTTGTGCTTTACATCTTCTTTTAAGTAGAACGATGTTGTTCGTTTTAAACGAAATTCTATGTAATTACAGTAACGTTATAACGGATGGGCTACAAACGAGTGACGTTGCTATCTTTGACGAGGAATACTCGTAAGCGCATTTATGGAGGTGTTACGAAGGTTTCTTTGTCTTTTTGTCGATGTCAGTTCCCTTATCCTGCTTTCGTGCACAGTGTTTTATAATATGTGGGATACGTTTCAGCAACGTACGAACGAAACAAAGCTGTGAAAACAGTTAGATAAACACGCGTTCTGGTGTACTTTGTTCTCGAGTTATATCGTTGCATCGCGAATAGTCGACTGTTGGCGACTTTCAAATGGACTGGATAATAACGCGTACGTGAGTATAATTTAGCGAATGATTTGCGTGTAGACTCTCGAACCTGCATTCTTCATTCCTTTTCACAAGATATACCAATTTATCAACATATACCAAGAATTACTTAACCTCTTAATTATTGGCAACGAAAACACTACTACGAAACCACTAGAGTCAGGGAAAACGCCAGATG